CCATAGACTTGTTAGGATCCAGCTGGCTCAGTAAGTTGCTAACTACATCCTCCTGGAATACAGGAGGGCTATTCAGCTCTCTGTCTCTGTCTATCTGCTCTAGAGGCCAGTTGTTCTGAGGGCCACCTGTCTTACTGCTAAAAACTGAGGCAAAGTAGGTGTTAAGTACCTCAGCCTTCTCCTTATCTTTGTTAACTATATTTCCCTCCAAGTCCAACAGAGAATTGAGGTTTTCCTTGCCCCTTCTTTTGCTATTAATGTATTTATAAAAGGACTTTTTGTTATCCCTAACTGAATTAGCCAAATTAACTTCAAATTCCACTTTTCTTTCCCTAATTTTTTTCCTGCATGACCTAGCTCTCTTCGTAAATTCTTCATAAGTAGCCAGCCCTTTTTTCCACAGTCTGTAAACTTTCTTTTTATCCCTGATTTCTTTCAGAACCTCCCTATTTAACCAAGCCGTCCGTCTTCCCCTCCGGCTGGCCTTTCGGCACACTGGAATAGCCTGTTCCTGTGCGCTCAAAATTGCCTGTTTGAAGCATGTCCATCCCTCCTGGACCCCCTTGCCTTTAAGGGTTGTTTCCCAGGGTATGCCCTGAATTAGTTTTTTGAATAGGCCAAAATCTGCCCTCCGGAAGTCCAGAGTAGAAGTTTTAATGATGGCTCTCCTTACATCCCTAAGGATTGAAAATTCTATTATTTCGTGGTCACTATGCCCCAGGCGGCCTCCAACCACTACATCATCCACCAGCCCCTCTCTGTTTGTAAACAGTAGGTCTAGTGGGGCCTTACCCCTGGTAGGCTCATTTACCAGTTGATGAAGGAAATTATCCTCTATACACTCCAGGAACCTCCTTGACTGCCTCTTCTCTGCAGTATGAAGCTCCCAGCAGATATCCGGCAGGTTAAAGTCACCCATGAGCACAAGGGCTGGAGATTTTGAGACATCTGCCAGCTGCTTGTAGAATAATTCATCTCCTTCATCATCCTGGTTGGGCGGTCTGTAACAGACACCCACAAGGATGTCAGCCTTGTTGGCCTTCCCCCTGATTCTGGTCCACAGGCACTCAACCTTGTCACTGCTGACCTCAACTTCAACAGAGTCAAGGGACTCTCTAACATATAAAGCCACCCCTCCACCTCTCCTACCCTGCCTGTCCTTTCTGAAGAGCTTGATGATATCAACCATTTTGGGGAGTAAAGAAACCAAGGAGTTGTCTTAGAAAATAACACACCTTACAATTTAAATACCTTTTAAGGTTCTAGCAATCATATATCAAACATACTGTGCATTATACTTGCCTGCAGCAGCCCTGAAAAATCATGTTTCTTCTGTGTATTTTAAAAAATCAGCATTTCAGCTTTAAATTTTATTTTGGAAATTTATGTAGCTTGGTTTACCAACTTTAATTTTCTCTTTCTACTTTTTTCCAAAGTCCAGCTCTGACTAAAAGCGGGAATGTAATTTTTTCTTCTGCTTTAGGAGGCATCCAGCTCACTCTGCTCTCCAGCACAGTACCCTTTAGGCTAGGGCATCAAGTCAGAAAGACATCTTACTCAGAAGTACTGCTGTTTTCCAGTTACTATTTAGAAAACAGGCCTTAAAATACATTTTCTGTAGTGTAAATGGTTTTTTTGCCCCTTCTAGATTCAGTTATGTGACACTTACATTGGAGGGGTATCAGCTGGCACTGTTGAATGCCTCTACTATCACAAAACATAAGGGAGCTTTAGGAGAACACCATAAATATTTTCCTTTACTTCTCCTTTTCTGTCGGCAGGGAAAGGTAAATTGAGCTTGGAGCTGGTAGGATTTGAACAGCGATGTGTTCATTTGTTGTTTGCTGCTTTAAAGTTTAGGTTCATTCAACCCACGTTTTCAGAGCAGAAAATATTGATAGATGGAAGCAGTCATTCAAAGTTTATTTTGCTCACTTAGCCTTATCAGTAAAATGACAGCATCTATGTGAGGTCTAAATGGCTCAGTGGTGAATCTTGCACTACCCTCCACTTGGTGTGGTGGATCACTATCATACATTTACTGTGCAGCTAATGCAGCAGCATCCCAACTACACATACCATTACATTGGGATAAAATTGCAGCCTTCTGTCACATCAATATCCCACATAGACACCATAAGAGTAGACAATTCTCAAGCTATTTTAGCTTTTCTCTCTACTAGCTGTTTACCAAGTTATTCATTTTGATGCTATGTGCAGTCTGCTACACACTCTCTTCTTAGGAGTTCAGGATGACAGAACTGCTTGCAGAGCAGCCAGATTAGGACAGATTTAGTGAATTCTTTTTTATGCAGAACATTACAGTCAATATTTTGCTCTCTGGGATGTTTGAGTATGAGCAGGGTCTTTTTGCTTTCATGTCTTATGGGAACACATGAACTGGGGAGAAAATGAAAAGAAAATTGCTGATTGCCTTCCTGGACAAGCAAGGGTAGAAAATAACTCTGCTGCAATCTGTGAACAGTACGTGAGTCACTGTGAAGAACAAGGTTCAACATGTCTACCAAAACAGCTGGCAATTCCCAAATTTCATCTTTAGTATCACCAGAGTTGACATCCCCTTGAGAGGTTTACCTTGCAGAGCTATTCTCTTGGTCCCTCTGTGGTCCCAGGCAGAGAGCAGCCTGCTGGTAGGCACTTGAGTTGACACGACTGTCCTTGCAGTCAAACCTACTAGAGACTTTTGATAGAAACCTGGTTACTGGAGCATAACTATGCTGTGAATTAGCATGCAATAGTGTAGTAATTTATGTAGCTATGTTGTCACACTGTGTACAGAGTTTGGAAAGTGTCTCCTGTTTACTGCAATTGAAGCAGTAAACTTATCCTTGTTTCTGCAGTAAACTTAAGAGTGGCTAAAAATAGAAGCAATCGAGCTTCACAGTAAGCAAAAGGAATGAGCCACATGAGATAATGATCTCTCAGTCCTGCAGAGCACCTCAGCAGTCCTTGAATGCTTTAAAAGTGCCTGTGGTTAAGGTTGAGCTTTTCTCCTTTTCCAGACCCAGCCATGCTATTGGAAGATGTGACTGTCCTTCTCCTGGAGGTTCTTTCCCCATCAGCAAACTGCAGCTCCCAAGACCATTTCCTACTCTACTTTGGCACTTTAAAATCAGCTGTTTTAGCCCAAACTAAATGAAGAGAAGTGGTGAATGAGCAGCAGAGATAAGAAGAACACAACCAACCAATAGCTATGTTAAGGAAAGAGAGGAGGAGGCAAAAAGGTAGTCCCTCTCCAAGTCACTGAAGCTATGAGACTGGCTCTCTTGCTTTTAGAGATGAAAAGCCTTGAACATTTCCTTTTCACACTTTTTGCCTTCAGCCGCTTCATTTTATATCATACAGTAGTTATATTGAAGAGCTTCTGTTCGTGTGTGATAAGCTCAGCTTGGGCTTGAAAAGGAAGAGCTTCTGAGAACAAGAATTAAAAATACTCTGACAGTGGAAAAAAGGTAATTTTTAATCCACTTCTTCAGATGTATATACGTAAGTGATAGACACATCTTATGCTTTCACTGATGTGGAAGAGGAAGAGAATTTGTGCAGTGTGTTTGTACTTTTTGCCCATGTTGGAGAGTTGGGGTGTTATGAATCTATGTCAGAAAAGATTTATCCCATGTGAATCGCCTTGTGTATTTCTGTAACTTGTGGGTTTGAATCAACCGTGCACATGTGAAATCAGGTACCTTGACCAGGACTGATCACCATCTGGTGGCAACCTGTAAAATTCGGACTTTGACAACAGTACAGAAGAGGAGCAATTAAAAGAAAACTTGTCAAAAGGCCTGTGGCACTGCTTCTGAAAGATGTAGCTGATGGATGATCCTTAAACAAAGTATTTGAAATATCCACAAGGTATCTTAAACACTACGGAGTCATTATTTTTCCAACTAAAGTGCACAGGGGTGCACATGGGTTACCCATGGCAGGAGCCTGCTTTTGCCAGCATGCTTGTTGCTGTCAGCCATCTGCCTGCCTGAGGCTCCCAAGGGCCATGGCAGTGGGGTGGGATGAGCTCTGGTGCCGGTGATACTCCTGGGCACTGTTTTGCACCAATGTTACTGGGAATGTATGTGTAATCATGGAGTCTCATGGCCCAAAGGAACAACCAGAGGCCCAGCAGGCTTGTGTCCTTCTTGTTCAGTGTCTGGATAGTCTGCTTTTGGAGATATGCTGCACAGGAGATGACTCTTCTGTAGACTAACATGACTTAAATCCTTTTTCCTTTATTATTTTCCATATATACATATTATATAATACACACTTAAAAGTTCAAGAAGAGATTGGATGGAGCTCTGAGCAACTTGGTCTAGTGGAAGGTGTCCCTGCCTATGGCAGCGGGGTTGGAACTAGATGGTCTTTATGGTCCCTTCCAACCCAAGCCATTCTATGATTCTATTATATATCCTATTATATAGCCTTTTGTGTGTGTGTGTATCTGTGTGTGTGTATATATATATGTGTGTGTGTGCATATAGATAGATAGATAGATAGATAGATAGATAGATAGGTAGATACACATACCCTTGTATTCACCATGTAGGTCCTTCTCTGGTATTCCTCTCATCCTCTCCTAGGTCAACTCTAAGATTTCACCATTCAGTTGTTCAGTGCCCTATTCTGAAGTTCATTGGGTCCATCCAATCTGAAAACGTGATTTATCTATGAGCTTTCTATGTAATTCAGTGGTTTCAGCAACCATGACTGTATCTGCTGTGTTTTGCTTAGGCTCTAATAAACAAAGCACTACATCAGTGACAGCACTGAAATGAATGGAAGTTGTTCACATGTCCAGACTAAGCTCCTCATGTTTGTGAAATCAATAGCAAAACCTGGAGCTAGAGAAGCCCACGTTTCCCAAATGTCTTTGGAAACAGCCTAGTTGGGTGGTTTTACACTTATGCCTTCCAGTTTGATTACAATCCACCAAGGAATATGATGCTTTACCTAATGGGAAGTTACAAAGTCTTCAGACCAACTTCCACACCAGTGCAGTGGGAAAATCATGTTCCGTGTCTTGCCAGGTGGTGGGTTTGACCAAGTTGTCATTTGTTGTGTTCATACTTTCTCCTTAGCTCTTAAGGAAGAGAGAAATGTTTAGTGTTCACTTATAAATAAGACTTTTTCATATCCCATTCAAAACAACTAATAATCAGGTCTTTCCTTTCAACTTCTTATCAGTGCCACTGTGAGTGCTTTAATGAATAAGGAAAGACCTTGCTGCTTTGGTAAGAATTGATTCTGATCTAGACACCTTTTATCATATATATATATGATCCAATATATATAGATCCAATATTGGATCCGTATAGATAGAATTTAATTTTAAGTTTCATCTTTACAGGAAAGTGTCTGGATAGTCGCTTCCCTAGTTTTCCTGGTTACAAGCTGGTCTCCAGAAAGGCCTAGACTATCACACATTCTTTCAGTTCAATACCAACACTGATGTTGCAAAAAAAATACATTATTTTTTGGCTTGTTATTATCTGTTATATAAATTTCCATCTCCATAAAATTTTTAAATGGTGTTTTGCTTTGACATTAGTCTTAGATAGAAGTTTTCTGAAACATCAGAATAAATTCATCCAACTTTGCAAGGTAGCCATTTGCAAGATACAATATGGGATTTGAGCAGGATTTGAGGAAAGACAGCTCAGTATGTACTCTCTACAACAGAAAATACATGGCCACTGATGCACTCAGCAAATAACTGTTAACATGGCATCCAGTAAGTGCATTTGGTGTGAAGAAGTGTCTTCGTTGTGAAGAAGTGCCTTCTTTGTTTTAAAGTGGAGTAAAGGTTCCACTGAAAAAAATGAATAAATCCCAAGCGTAATTTTTTTCAGAGGAATGCAGCTTCTTATAGGGTAATGCCTGTCCTCAAATTGCTGTGGCCTGGATCTGTTAAAATGGATCCTATTGAATCACTTCTATTTCTTGTTTCACTCTGAATTTTCTTGCTGTAGCTTCTACCCTCCCTCACTTGTGAGATCTCACAGAGAAAGGTTGCAGGATTTGAATTCAAATTTGTGTAGAACATTTGGTTCAAACATGTTTAAAACACTTTAAAAACTGAAGCACAAGCTTGAGAAGATGCCTGCCAAACACTGGCAATTGTTTTTAAAGAGCAAACCAGCTTCCAACGCCTTCTCATGGCTGGGGGTGGTGCAGGGGTGATTTGGATAAATCCAGTGGCTCTAATTCACTTAAAAAGTTGTGCAGAGATATCCTCATCCCCAAACAAATTTGAAGCCTCTGGTGTGGCTAATGGTTAACGAGGCCAATAGCAAAAAGGCCCATCCTGCACTATGGCAACACAGAAACCAATGGTAGACGAGTGAATTAACAACTTCCAAACCCCGGCACTGTTGTAGCAAACTGTGGAGGCCAGAGAGTAAATATGTGTGATCACCAAAGAGCGTGACTGGCAGTCAACTGTGCAGTCCCTAATGACAGCCTTATGCTCTCAGGGGCTTTCGCAGACTTTGCTATCAGTGACATATATGATATGGTGGGATTCAGGTCAAGGAACTCTCTCAGAGGCCAGACCACCCCAAGCCCTGCACTGGTTGTAGAAACACAAAGTGGGGACAAGTATTGGAAGAAAAGATGGGTGTGGGGTTTCGGTTCTAACTGCCCTAAGATTACAACAGGTTACAACAGGGACCAGAGGAAGGAGACAGCAAGGCTTTGCTGTTGGCCTTATTATTTTGCTGCTTGAATTACAAATAGAATTTAGACAAAACTTAAATCTAACTAAGGAACAGTTTGTACTGTGACAGATTTTATCACAGTAAGTAATTGGCCATAACGGCACTTCTGCAGCCCAAGCTGAGGGCAAATGATATATGTTGTAGACACATAATGAACTTTAAATAAATTATCCAAGAGCAGAACTCGTAATAGAAGGGAACTAGATTATTGGAACAGAAACCCTCTTTCAGCCTTAACAGTGGAGTCACTGCTTCATTACATGGTATTCTTTACTGTAACCAATTGATTGGAGTCACTTAAAAAAATGTTGTGATTTCATGTCTTTAATTGCAGTCACGTGTAGGAGAAACTTGTCTGCTCCTGCATTGTGATAAGTTAATTAGAACCTGCTGGAAATAAAAGCCAAATGGTTCAAGCCATGGCAAAGTAACCTAATGCCTGTAATTGGACTATGTTTCACACAGATGTGTTGCTGAATAAATTAAATAGGATTAGGCTAGCAGCATTCAACTGTTCAACTGACTCAGATTTAAGAGATGCAAATGATATAGATATAGGGATCAAGATGTGAGCCCTCCCTCCCTTACCCTTTATAATTCAGGGAGGTATTTTCATGCAGAAAGAGTATGTGGATTTAACTTGAGTATTGGATGCATCCCAGATAAGTCCAATTTATTCTGCACTTCCATCATCTTGTAACCCTTTGCTCATCTTGCTCCACTTCGCCCTGCCTCTAAGTTCATACCTTTAAATCAAAATATGGATTTTACCTGTAAATCCTTGGCATTTTCTTCCCTCCTCTTCATGGCTGGTTTCCTAAATACCTTACTCCAGCTGGCAGAGTTTGCTTTTAAATTCCACATGTTTGTGCAGTGAGACTGTCCGGGAAAGCTGTAGCAAACCACATGGGCTATCAGGAAGGTTACCAGAACACTCTGACTCCATTCTCAGGTTTCTGTCAGGTGAAGACAGAATGGGCTCCATAGTGCTTAAGCAAGAGCAGCTCTGACATCTCTCACCTACCTGCAGGCTATCTACCACGTTCCCGGTGGCAGAGCTATCCTGGTGTTGGCTGCCCTCTCATTTGGCCTCTGACACCTTACTCTCAAAATTGATTGGGGCTGCCCGTAACCTGCCCAGTTTGGCTAGAGTGGATTTTTATGGTTGTTTTCAACCCTCAGCAAGAGAGGCAGGCCAGCAGCACTGAGGCAGGGAGCAGCACCATCTCAGTACCTGTCTGAAGGAACACCTGCCTTTTGAGTCCCGGGGCACAGTACAGGGGAGGTGGAATATAGGGGGAGGATGGGGAAAGAATAGGATTTTGAACTGGCAGGAGCTGGTCTGCAGAAAGCTTGGTGGATGCTGGGAGCTGAGATCAAACCCTTGCCTCTCAAGGAGGTCAAAGGTACACATGCTCTACAAACCAGGAGCTTGGTGGGGCCAGCTGTCCGTTCTGCATGGAGGGACCTGGCTCCCTGCATGAGAAGAGCAAAGATTATGCAACCGTGGCTCAAGCAGGTCTTGTGGCTAGGAGAGGTATCTGAGATCATGTACTTGTGAGGGCAACCCAGTCAGAGGAGGGCTTTGCCAGAGAAAGCGATTGCATAACTCTGACAGACAACTATCCTGACCATATCACATGGCTAACACTCTTTTCTGCTGACATGACTTGTCCAGAAGTCAGAGGAAAGGCTCTGCAGAGAGGTCTGGAGGGGCTGGATTGATGGGCTGAAGTCAGCTGTATAAGGTTCAATAAGGCCAAATGCTGGGTCCTGCACTTGGGTCACAACAACCCCAGGAAGCACTCCAGGTTTGAGGAAGAGTGGCTGGAAAGCTGCTAGGTGAAAAAGGACCTGGGGGTGCTGGGTGACAGCTGGCTGAACATGAGCCAGCAATGTGCCCAGGTGGCCAAGAAGGCCAATGGCATTCTGGTTTGTATCAAAAATTGTGTGGCCAGCAGGACCAGGGCAGGGATTGTCCCTCTGTATTCAGCACTGGTGAGGCCACGTGTTCAGTTCTGGGCCCTGCACTACAAGGAAGACATTGAGGTGCTGGAGCAAGTCCAGAGAAGGGCGGTGGAGCTTACTCAGAGGGGTCTAGAGAGTAAGTTATGTGAGGAGTGGCTGAGGGAGCTGGGGTTGCTTAGTCTCTAGAAAAGGAGGCTGAGGGGGGACCTTATTGCTCTCTACCTGAAAGGACCACTACAGCTCGTACTCCACAGCTATCTATAGAAAGGTGGGGTTCAGCCTCTCCTCCCACGCAACTAGTGACAGGACAAAAGGATATAGCCTCAAGCTGTGCCTCAAGAAGGCACCTCAAGGAGGTTCAGGTTGGACATCAGGAAGATTTCTTCACTGAAAGTATGATTAAATGCACAGGGAAGTGGTGGAGTCACCATCCCTGGAAGTATTCATGAAAAAACTTGGCATGGCACTTGGTGCCGTGGTTTAGTTCACATGGTAGTGTTTGATCAAAAGTTAGACTCAATGACCTTGGAGGTCTGTTCCAACTTTAATGATTTTATGATTTTATGATTCTATGATTCTGTGAATGAAGAAACCTATGTCAAACTATGTTCTCCTTTTGTATATGGCTTATAAGTATACCCAGCCTGCTGTGTGATCTGGAGCATTTCAGAGTCCCCAGATAACCAGGCAATAAAGCAGAAGAATGACCAACACGTCCTTGAATGTAATGGTCAACCCTCAAGAAGGGGCTAGCAGAAATCTCCTCTTCCTTCAGAGATGGTAGAAGGGCAAATTCTGGCACGTCTTACCACAGGGATTTTGCTGCTTGTGCATGGAGAATTGGAGAGAGTGTGGCCTACGCAGGTGTATCGGTGTAACCCTGGTGTGGAAGTTGAAGATTTTACGGGGTGACTTAGCTTTCCAATGTGTAGTGTTAGCTGCAATGACCCTACTATGATCCTAGTATGACATGTAGCGATAGGGCAAGTTAGAATGGCTTTAAACTGAAAGAGGAAGGGTTTAGATTAGACGTAAGGAAGAAATTCTTTACTGTGAGAGTGGAGAGACACTGGAACTGGTTGCCTAGAGAACCTGTGGATATCCCATCCCTAGAAGTGTTCCAAGGCGAGATCGGATGGGCTTTGAGCAACCTGGCCTAGTGGAAGGTGTCTCTGCTCATGAAAGGGAGGTTGAACTAGGTAATCTTTAAGGTCCCTTCCAACCCAAACCATTCTATGATTCTATAATTTTATGATTGCAGAGATCAGTGACAGAATTTATATGTTTTGCTTGATATTTTCTCTGTCTTCCACAGGTTTTGACTCTTGTGTTAACTGTTCTGTGTTGACTTTCATCCTGGGTATCTGCATCTTGGCAAAGT